GAAATAAAACAAAAGTTTTCTCTTTCTTTTCTTCAATTTATTCAAATTGAACAGGAAAGTTCATTCTTAAAAGTATTATGGATGAAAAAATTCCTTATTTACTATCAGTCGTATAGAATACGACAGAATAAAGTGATTAATGATAAGCTGATAAAAGGTTGACTAACGGTATTTATGCAGTAAAAGTGGTACTTCTACAACATCATTTTGCTTCAATTAAATTAGTTATTTTATGAACTTTTTTTTTTGTCAGCAGGCATACTGTTAGTGATTTGACCCGAAGTAAGCTGTCGGCAAAATGACATCAAAAGTTGCTAATGTAATTGGTACTATTAAATTTTTTAAAAAAAAATTGAAACAATTAAAAATGTGGAATCACGGTTGGTCGTAAATTAAAGTAATTATTGAGAAATGGATTAATCTGGGATAGCTGAAACACTCATTAGTTTTAGAAGATCTGACACTTATCGAAATGAAAATGCCTACTTCATCACTGACATTATCGCCTTGTTGGTCTGAACTTTGAAATTTGTTAAATCGAATTCTGAAGAAAATGAAATATTTAAACAAAAAAAAAAAAAAATGATGTCCCGAGAGCAAAAAACTCTTAAATTCATTGCTAAAATTTAATCTGACCTTCTCGAATTTGTAGGTAAACTGCTACGTTCTTTTCGGTGGCGTGACCTTGTTGACATTAGTTTTTGATGCAATTTAGGATTTACGTTTGCATCCATTAATTCTTGGTCCTAAAGAATTTAATTATTTCACCACAAAAATTTTAGTTTTCAAATTTAAAACAAACAACATTTTAAAATAATTTTAAAAAAAAAGCGTTACAATTTCAATACGCGTTTTAATATAATTCTGCAATGCATCACATTCTCCTGCCTAACAAAAAAAAGCTTTTATTAATATAATGAAAATTAATTATAATAAATAAATTTCACTTATTAATACAATGCAGAAGTGCTTTCAGTTTATATTTCTATTAAAATTTATAAAAGTAAATGAGAAAAGTAAATTAAATCTTTGCAGCTATTAATTTCCTCCAAGCAAATAATTGAAATTGGAAAATTAATCGTTTTTATTTCATGCAAGCAAATAATGAATTGGAAAATTAACCGTTTTTATTTCATCCATTTTCTTTTTTCGACGTTTTATATTCACATAGCTAATAATTCCGGCCGCAGCTAACATTCCGATCATTATAACCCATGCTATCACAGTGGTTCGTACTTCACTCCTCATCCTTTAATTTCTTACCAGAATTTTTAATTGGAATCGTTATCTCGAACTCAATCATATCATTGTTTTAGAGCACAATTAAAATTAACTCCAAACTTTTTTCTTCTTTACTTTTGCGTCAACTTTATTAGCTACACTACGCGGAAGCACATATCAGTAAAAAGGATCTAAAATGGGAAACATAAATTCGTTTTTTCAAAAGTTTTTTGCAAAATTAAAAAAAAATTCTACTGGCCCGAAAAAAATTTTTAATGAATATAGCAATTAAACTGCTTGCTGTCAATGCAAAAAAAAAAACAATATATTGATCCTATCAATCTCTTGCCTTATAAAAGAATAACGAAATATTGAAAATGCAAATTTCGGTAAAACCAAATCAATTTGAAATGAATTTTCATTCTTTATTACTTTTTTGATTTAAGCTTTCATCACTTCAATACATTTTTCATTAAATAAGCTATGAGCTAATTAACACTATTTTATCATTAATTAACATCATATTATGTAGTGAGATAGCACATTTGGTGCAGGCAATCAACTTACTTTTTGCGCTTCTCATTATACATTCATTTTTTGAATTTGTTTTAAGTTATATCATTTTTGCTAAAGATGATAAAGAATTTTCTTAAAATATTATTATTCTCGATGTTGATCTTCTGGAGGCCTAACATCACCTCAAAGATCTAGCATATATTCGAGTGATATACAATCGCCTTCATTTCATCTTCGGAAGTTTTTAAATATTTTAGAAAATTCAAATTTTAAAATAATTGTATTCAATGGTTTTGAATATAATTATTTTAAAATATTTTTTACGATAAGATTGGAATCATACAAAACGTTTCGTTTAATTAGTCGTCAAAGTTATTCGGTCAAAAATTTCAAAGAAGAACTGATAAAGTTGTTGGAGATATTATCCAATGATAATAATGAATGACGCATTTTTCCGTAAAATATTTTGTGGTGAGTACACAAATTATAGTAAATTTTTCTTCCACTTTTTTTCAAAAAAGACTATTAATCATAAAACGAAAAAAAAGTGCATTCAATGAGCAATTTAACCAATTTGAACATCTTCGCTTTGTACATTAATGGCCTACAGTAATCAGGCTTGACATCATTTATTTTCATCCTCTCTAAACTCATTCTTTATTTTTTCCAATTATATTGAATATCTAAAACGTTGCATTTAATCATCCTTTAGACAAATATAAATTCAATTCTTCATTGATATATTATTTGTCCTTTCAATTTGCTTTTTTATTATGTCAAATATTATTGCAAAATTAATTTTGGCTCGTTTGTTTGCTTTTTTTAAAAATATCTTTTATTCGATTTTAAAGTTTCAAATTATTCTCGGATCCTTCGTTAGAAATCTTTAACTTGATTGCGTTACATTTATTTTATTCCAAGATATAATTCCTTATTTAAAATTTTTCACTCATTTTGACCACTTTGAAATAAATTGGTAGCGAATGTTTATTTGAAAATGCTTATTATTTTTGCTTTTGAATTTTTGTTTTTTGATTAGTTCAAGAAATGATAAGTCATCGAGTGAAATACAGCTAAAACAATAGAATAATCTTTGATTTGATCATTAGCTTTTCGAATTGATTTCTTTTTTTTTTTAATATTTCCCAAACCTTTATTTGCTTCTTTGGTTTAATTTTCTGAAACTTCCAAAAATCGATATTATATTTTCAGTAAAGGAAATTAAAGAAAGAATTGTTGACTGAAATTTGGCATTTGGGATTGTCAACAATTGAACTCAATGCTGTTCAATTCAATAACAAATCAATGACCGACTGCTCTTAAATGATTGATGTGAATATAATGAAATTAAGAATGCAAAAAATTAAAAATTCTCAGTCTCATATTGCTATTCTCAACGTTTACTTTATGAGAAAGCCTCCTTTATATCGCATATGACTTTATTGCCATTAACTCTTCCATTTCATAAAATGCAGGGATTTAGACGAAAAGTATTATTTCAATTCTTTAATTATCTTTTCTTTTGAGCTAAAGTAAAGTAAAAAAAAATGCCAAATAATGGATGAATATCTTTATCTTAATTTTTTTATAATTAAATGAGTTTTTTTTTTAATTTTTGCAGTTTCTTCATGGAATTTCGCTGGCAGAATTTTCATAATTAATCCGATTAATGTATTTCAATGATAATTAACACTTCAGAAATGTTTTAGAAATTAATCCTTTAGACTTCTGAAGGCTTATATCATACTGTAGTTGGAAGTGGATTGCTAATTAAGATTTCAAATATATAAGTCTTACTGCAGTTGGGATGAATTTTACAAAATAGATTGGCATTAATCTGTAATATATTGTAATTGTTTAGGTGAAAATTGCACCATTTTTGAATTGATATTATTAGTGGAAATTGAATACTGTCTTTTTCTGCATGAGTTAATGTTAAATAATTTGACAACATTGTTAACATATCATAAAGGAAAATTTCATTTTTTCTGATTACTGCTCAGAAAATTCTTTTTCCCCTTTCTTTCCTTTATCAAACGAAGCAAATGCTTTCGATTATCATTCGTTATCAGTGATGTTTAATTAGCTTTAAATATCAATGAAATAGACATTAGCTTTATAACAATTTAATAAAGCCACTATCTATTTCAAGTTGGACTAAGATCCATTAGTAAGAAGTCATTCACTCATTTTTCTTTTCTCTTTAAACTTTGAGATTTTGATGAAAAATTCTGGGTGTTTCAAATTTTAAGTTAATTTTCAAATTTTCTTTATTCGAATTTCTTACCTTTTCTTTTGATATAAAATTTATTTTCATAGTCTAACAATTGCAATGGGATAATAATTCGTTTACAGTAAAAATGTTTAAAATATGCAAGCGTTTGGAAATAACTGCTTCTCATTAGCTTTAGCCTAGGCTTAGGATTTTTAGAACTAATTCTACTGAAGGAGTTTAAATGAAATCTATTTTGTGATTTCTTTTATGAATAGAGAAGATTTTGTGAAGATTTCTGAAGATTCATTTACCAATAAATCTAGAATAACAACTGAATTTTGAAATCCTGATTTAATTTTTAACGCTGAAATAAATTGAAATTTGAAAAGCAATAAATCTTAACGGACGAATAAATGAAAGATATGATTAATTTACAACTGATCTAAAATAGCATTAACACTTATTCAGAATTATAAGAGAAGAAATAGTATGTTAGATCTTTGATAGATTATTAACTAAAGTAATTTTTTTTAAACTATGAATAATGTTTTAGGTTGGTTAATTTAGTAATGAATGATATTTGATATTACTCAAAGCAAAATTTTTATCTCATCTTTTTTTTCCATCTTTTTTACTGCTCTTTTCAAAGAAGCAAAGATTTTGTCAGTGATTAGAATCTAAAAAATAAAACTTCACGTATTATACAAATTTGATTTTAATTCAGGACTTTTTTATTGACTGCATGATTATGAGTAAGATTGGTGAGAAGTGAAAAAAAGATAAAGAGAGAATGACAGGGAAATTTTCCGCATTATGGTTTTTCGACATTGAAGTGTTTTGAATCAATTTTATAGTGGAGGAAACAAATTACATAAGAAAATGAAAATGCTTCGTCTTCTTGACCTCTTCTCCATCTTTGATAGCTCTAAAATTAGAATGAAAGACAAAAGGATCGATTGCATTAGCTGAGCAATTTGAACGCATTTTGAGATAACATCCTTTGATATCATAAAAAAAATTATTTTTGTACCTTTCAGGTGGAAATACAATGTTGCGGCAAAACCGGGCTACCATTAACCTTCGTATTACATCTTATGCTCTCCTGTTCACAGTATTAGCAATCGTTACAGATGCATATATTTTCGGAAATGGAAGTAAGTTCATTTTTATGAAATGTTTGGGAGTGGAATTAGTTTAAGATGAGAGGAATGATAATTAGTCTAGCAGGAGTTTAATTGATAAGATAATTTGATCAATTAAGTGACTTTCCTCATATAGATATAATGATGGAAAAATACTGTTGACCTATCCAGATCATATTAAATAAGAACAGTACTTTAAGCATTTCATCTTAAAAAACACTTCATTCCTCTTACAGACATTCCTTCCATGAATGATATGGACTTCAAGAGGATTTAGCTGTTCGTATTACAAGGATTAACACAACTTTTAAATTCCATTATTGATGTAAAATTTGAAATTGCAGATTATATTCGATTTCGTCGACCGGAAGACATCTGGGAACCACCGTTCCGTACTATTTTATGTGACAACTATCCGATCCGCATACAAGTATATGCGGATCCGACGAAAGTTTGTCAAAGTTTTATGAATCAAATGAAACAGATCAGTACGATCAACAATGAAGAATAATAATTATTTATGCTTCAATCTATAATTTGAAAATTTTCAATTGCATTTTCTTCACAATCATTGATAATAATATATACGATGTTTCCCAAAATTTTTATTATTTTTGGAATGATTATAAGAAACTTTTTAACATTTTTTGGAACTGAATCATTCCAGAATGTTTTTTGCTTTTCTAATTCGAAAACTTTTTATTCTGCACTTTTATCTTCCCTTGCTATGTTTAATTTATTTTGCTTTTGGATACATTTTTAGAGTAAGAATTTCGAGAAAGTCTTATACTATTAAAATTTGATAATTAGCTTAATTTTACAATAATAAAGAGATTAACAACTTGCAGCTTTTCTATATAAGTTCCTACTTCGAATGCATATCTTAATCCTCTCTTCAAAGAGCACCTTTCTCTCAATCCATCATTCTATAAAACCACTCATTATTTTCAAGATTGAAATTAATGCTAACGAATAATTGTAATTTATTTCGAAACATTGTATGCACAAATAAAATATAAAACAAACTTCTTAAACAATCAAAATTCCGTCGGATCAATAAAAGACATTTTTATTTCTTTTACATATATTTGATACTAACTGTTAAGTTACGCGTAACCAATAAGATAATTATACTCCATTTTTCTGAAATAACAACAAAAATGATTAGAGTGATCCTATCAAATTCATGAATGATCGAATATCTCCACATTTACTTCGGATAGGAAGCAGTCTGCAATTGCAGAACAATAAAGAAAACATGAATGGTTAGCTCATTGTCGGAAATAACGCACAATCAGTTAGTCAATGAGGTCAATCGATCAAAATGGACATAAACATTTTGACGTTGTAATTATGGCCATTCAAATTGGCGCAAAAAAATCAATTTTGGCATCGTATCAAAATTTTCATATTTTCTGATTGTTAGTTGAGCGGTTTGGAGTGCGGGAAAGTTTTATTCAGGTGGTTCTTGTTTGCTGGTTCAGGTAAAGGTCATATGGGTTGGCACTTTACACGTATTCTGTTATATTTTTAGGTCTCTTGACTGTTTTTTATCTTGGCGCATATTGATTACGAGACAGTCGCAGCGTGTGCTATCTATTTCATCCAAAATGTTTGGAAAGTCACCTTTCGGTTCATCAAATACATCTGCCTTTGGTGGTAAGTTTCATCCAATTTTCAAGATTTTTCCAGCGGAATAGAGGAGACGTGATGAATCTTTCGAAAGATGTGATGAATTTTGCCCTTTGTGGTTGTATCACCTGAAATAAAGCTTGCTGCTGCAATCTTTTTCTTCTTCATTTTTCTTTGTTTACCATTTTACAGTAATTTTTCATTTATGCTTTATCAGTCAATGTTTCAACTTTGCAAATTCCATATTTTCAGTAGCAAAGCATTTTCTCTTTTTGGAACGAATCTCAAGAATTTTAGTTGTGTCATTCCTCGTATTGTGTCTTTATTGTTGTAACATTTTCCATTGTAGCAGGCAGCTCATTGTTTGGATCATCCGCCAATCGACCAACAACAGGATTTGGCACACAAACGACCACGCAGAGCACGGGTTTATTTGGACAAAAATCTATTTTCGGCTCTCCCGGACAGTCAACATCACTTTTTGGTTTGATTGATTTTATTGACATGAGAAGGAGTAAATTTTGAAGTTACTGAATGAAATCAAGCTTGAACTATTATATAATATGATGACACTATGCTCAATTGAACGCTATTCTAGGGAGTGCGCAGCCTGCTTCCTCTACTTCTACATCAATATTTGGTCAATCAAAACCACTTTTTGGTTCATCTTCGACAACACAGTCACCAGGTTTTGGTGGTACTACATCACTGTTTGGTTCAACTCAGTCGACACAACAAACTGGTGGCGTTTTCGGATCAAGTTTTGGAAGTACTGTCTAATTACTAGCTTTTTTTTCGTTGTATATTGGGATTGTTTATATATGAATTTCTAGAACCGAAGGAAACTTTAGCTGTCTCTGAAAATTTCTGTTTGTTGTCTCTGAAAAATTTCTAAAAATAGAATATTTCAGCATCAACCATATCGGGTACAACTGTTAAATTTGAACCTCCTACATCCACGGATACAATGCTTCGTAATGGTACTAATCAAACGATTAGCACAAAACATATGTGCATCACTGCCATGAAACAGTATGAAAACAAGAGTTTAGAGGTCTGTGGTTTAGAGTATTTCTATTTTAGCTACTAAGAACAATCATTTTTATATGATAAATTCATTTTTATTTATTTAACAACTTATTTCACGGACTTTAGAACATAAGCAGAGTAGTATAACATTTATATCTATTCCGTGGAATAAACAAAATAAAATATATAAATCTTAAACATTCCGGTTTTTAATTTATACAGGAGTTGCGATGTGATGATTATTTGGCAAATAGAAAAGGTCCACAAACTAGTGGTTTGGTATTCGGTCAGACTTCACAATCAACTTCTTCGTTGTTTGGTTCCAATACAACTACAACTCAGTCTTCAATTTTTGGTCAAAATAAACCACTCTTTGGAAATAGTAAGTTCTCTTTATCTTTTATTAATTTTCGATAGCTAGTGTTTTAGTTGTTTCAAATGGTTAATGAGCTAAATGAAGTTTGCATATTATTTCGGGAGATTTATATTTACATTCTTTACCAGTTGCATAGCTACCTAATGCTTAGATTTGGGAAATTCCTATCACAAATGATTTAATTCATGTGTTATGGTAAACTTTTTTCTTAGCCTCGACTGGTTTCGGTGCTACAACCACGACCTCGTCTGTGTTGTTTGGAACCCCAACAACTACTACATCAATCTTTGGCAGTAAACCAGCAAGTGGAGGACTGTTTGGTTCTTCCACTGCAGCATCACCATTTGGGCAAACTCAGACTAGCACAGGATTATTTGGCGCTAAACCATCGACGGTTTGATTTGTTTGCTTTTTATCTGTTATTTTGGTCGTTCACTTTTGTCCTATTTCAAAATATCATTGTAGTGTTAAAGTCATGTGAGGAATTTGATTGAGTACTAAACATAAATAGTTACTTTTCTTCATTTTTGTCCTTGTCTGTCTATTAGAAAAGGTTTAGAAATAAAATGTCGCTTGAGATCAGCTTGTTTACCATAGTAAAGTACTCCTCTATTGCTCTTATCATTCCTTAGACCTAATTTTTAAGTTCTAAATGCAGTTTCAGTGTTTTCATATGCAATCTTGCTTGATCGTGTCTTATTGAAAAATTTTTTAAGATTTTTAATATAACGTCCATTAATTTTAAATTACGGGAAACACGTCCAGTAATTTAAAAAAAGTTTGATTGTAGATTTATGCAACTTTTATTTTTCTTTTGTCCTTCCTTTTATGTTTTAAAGTTTGGTTTTGGTTTTATTTCGTTTTTTTTTTCACTTTTATTGCGTAAGCATTTTGGTTAAGTAATTTCAGGGTTTCGGCACTCAAAGTTCGTCACTTTTTGGTGGACCAGCTTTTAGCACTACTACACCCTCATCAAGCCCATTTACATTTGGTAATAGCACGGTAAGAGAATAATTGATGTTATTTTAAATATTGTGATTTATATTAATATGAATCATTATTTAATAATAAATATCGGTGTCTGCCATTATAATTCGAGGGCAGGATACTATTAGGTTGATTTAGCAAGTTTTTATAGAGAATCCAAATTGCGTTGTTTATTTTTATTCAACGTATAATCGGTTCATTGACAGAGAGAGAAAAGAGAACAAATTCATGATGTTTCTTAGTGACTTTCAGCAACCTGCAACATCAACTGCTTCGACAGGTCTTTTTGGTGCCAAACCATCTACTTCAGGTTTTGGTGCTTTCGGTACATCTACGTCCACGGCTTCACCCTTTGGTATGTATTGTCAGTTGCATTGTCAGGCTGAGATTCATATGAATTTATAATTTTAAATTCTTTTCATTTTCTATGCTAAAGAAATTTTTAGTAAAAAGGTTTCAGGCGCTCAATCAACTGGTGGACTTTTTGGTTCCAAACCAGTTGCTGGTGGATTATTCGGCTCGAATACAGGTGCTGTATTAAAGTTGAAAATAAATTATAGTCTTATGTAATCAGAGTGCTTTAAATTTCTAGTTTTCTGCTCACTAATTTTTGGCATTTAGGAAGTCTTTTTGGACAAGCAGTCCCTTCCTCAACACCATCATTATTCGGCTCAACTGCACCCAAGCCAACTAATTCCTTATTTGGTTCCACTGCGGCGCAGCCTGGTGAGTATCTATGTGGAAAATTTTTGTGTTTGTTTGAAATCGTATAGAAAAGAAATTAAATCGGAAAATTAAAATTTCGATGTTTTACAGTTTTCGGTTCCACGCAACAAGTCGCAGGTGGTAATGTGTCGTTAGTAGCACCCATTGTTTTGGGTGCCGATCTTAATCAATGGCAAATTGAAAAAGCAGTAATCGAAGCACAGTTAGCATCTAGTCCTTACGGTGATAATCCACTATTAAAACTTCTAACGACTGAATCACAAGAGAAATCAAATATTCCTAATCCAGTCAGGTTAGGCTGAAATGTTTATTTTTCCCTTCCATTTCGAGATATTTATTGATATGATTCATCTTATTTCAAGGGTAATCTCTTTTTTCTGAATCATTTGATATTTATTTAGTTACATATAACTATACATGGCGAACTAATTATCGGGAGTTTTTTTATGTGTGCTCTCTGGAGACTACTTTTATGTAAAACCGTTCGTGATAAATTTTTTCCAAGTTATTTTCTTTATTTTCATTATTTTATGACTTTTATAGCGATACTTTCTAAAACATCCATTTATTATTGCACTTGTAGCATAGAGCGACAAATTCGATTTCTGGCTTCAAAGAAAGATGCGGTGACAACAACAACACCGAGTGGACCACTTGCACTGGGTTCAATACCTTCTGCTGCATCACGTATTAAACCTTCAGCTTCCAAATTGCGAGACAGTATCGGGGACTTTACATATCACTCCATGTTTTTGCCGCCTGGCGTTAGAGGAAGTAATAGGAAGAATACATCATTAAATCTTGACAGCACTACTAATCGGTATGTATTTTCCTGTTGTGACAATTTGAAATAAAGTTTTTTATGAAAGGTGATGGGAAACCAAAATACTTTCTTATTGTTTGAAGTGGAATTATTGACGATGGAGTTAGAAATATCGATTTCAGATCATATAATACTAATGGTTCGTCTTCATCGATAGATCCTTCAAGCTTTTTGGGGACGAACACTAACCAATCGTCAAAACTAAAATACAATTCGAATGTTAAACGACTTGATCTCAGTGTTCTCCATAAATACATGGTACCATATTAAATTTGAGAAAAGTTCAATATTTTTTCATTCCATATTTGTGTTATGATTGTCATGAGTATACTTATAACGGACTTATAAAGCATGCTTATTATTCTCAATTCAAAAAGCGATAACTAACTGGAGAAGGGAAGAATAAAACTATTTATAGCAGGAAAATCGACGGAATTCCGCCAACTCAGTAAACATATCTTCATCAGTAAGACAAATTGATGGAGATAGTGAAACGACTGATAATGCACGAGTTGGGGCAGTTTCAAAAGCAGATTCTGTAGGTCTTTGTTTTGAAAAATTAGAAGAAAAAATCAAGATTTATGTGGTGCAAATATTCTCAAAAATTTTATAGCGACCAGTTACTGCCGAGTTGGCATCGGTGGGACGGAGAACGGGCGTTTCATTCATGTTGTCATCTTCGGAAGGTTTGTCAGCTGATGGTACAACAGCTGGAGAAGGACAACCGGCCGGTTCTCACTCTGCTCCGCAGCGGGCTAGTGAAGTGTCTTCCTCAATGGTTTATTTTAATCATATTATTGTCATTTATTTATTGGTTATTAAGTTGGTCAAAATTTTCTCATCCCTTTAATAATGCATATTCTCTTATAACCTTAAATTTGGCGTTGATCTTTTTGAAAGGATGTAATCGTGAAGTGTTGTAGCCGTGTGGCCGTAATGATTTATTCGTTACATATAGCATACAAGCACATCAATAGTTTTCAGATAGAAAAATCTAAAAATCGTGTTTATGCTGGACAGCATGTCATATTGATGCTTATAAAATATCGTGTGCATTCATGTTTGAAATTTTCCTAAATTGATTAATGGGGTCAATCACACTTCACTGAGACCAATATTTGGTAAATGTTTAAGCCAATGGATTCCTATAGAAAGAGAATTTTTATAAAGTATCAATTCAGGTGCAAGGGGAGAGCATCAATAATTCCCTGAGTGTGACTAACAACAATGTTGCCAATTCCTCATCTGAAAATGTTGCTTTGCATGGTGTTCATCCAGCAGGCATAATTTTAACAAGGTGCGTGTTTTTTTAGTTCTAGTTCAGCTGTATTTAGTTTTTCAAAGTCGACAATATATTGAATTTTTCACTTTAATGAAATCTCGAACATTAGTAGATTGGCAGCATTTCTGTAATAAAAATATAGCATGTAATCTCTCTTTTATATTACAAACAGTCATGCTATTATTTGTATACTTCAAAAAAGTTGTGTCATTCTCTATTAATAACTTAGAATTATATTTATTTTAGGCGAGATTATGAATGCGAACCATCGCTGGAAGAACTTGCGGAAATGACGCTGAAAAATAACGGTGTTTGTCATATAGAAAGTGGCTTTACGATACGTCGGCTTGCTTTTGGTAGTGTTTTTTGGCCTGGACCATTCGACTTGCACAATGTTAATTTGGACAAGGTTTTGACTTTTTATTTTTATAATGAATGAGGTGATTTGGAACAATTTTTCAAAAATATTTGATGTTTTAAACTTCATAATTGAAAAATCGGTTCTTTTTTCTGTGTTAACACCAGCTTTGTTTCAGGTAGTGCATTTTCGTCAGCATGAAGTGATTGTATATCCTGATGATAATTCGAAACCACCAGTTGGACAGGAATTAAATCGATTTGCGGAAGTTAGTTTGGACAGAGTTTGGCCTCGCGATAAGAAAACCAGAGAATATATCACGGTTTGTTTTGGACATTGTCGTTTGATAATTATTGTGTACAGAAAAATAAAGAATGTTGGAGTTTGTTCCGAATTTGTGATAGTTGTTTAAAAAATTTTCAACAGCTATCATAAATCACAAAGTTTGTTTTTGAGGATCCTCTTCGGCTAGAAGAAATGGGCTATCGAGCAAAATTGGAACGTGCTTCGTTAAAAATGGGAGCAAAATTTAAGGATTACCGTCCTGAAACAGGCACTTGGGTTTTCACAGTGCCGCATTTCACCAAATACGGATTAACGGTTAATTTAATTTTTCGATAGTGGCAAATATTTCTTATGCGGTTATCAAAAAACTTTTCATTTACAGCATTTTGCAATATTTTGTTTTCATCTGTCCACTTCATTATTTTGAATTCCTGAAATACTACTGTCAACCACGGTTTCTCACAAATTATCAAGCTTACCTCTCTCAAAATATTGCGAGTTTTTAAGGAAGACGATGACAATGATATGCTTGACGAGGTGCAGTTGAAAATGGCCTTCAAAGCTAGCAAGATCCAAAACGCTGTGCAGCGCGCCAAATTACCGAGGCTAAAAGTTGCTCATGAAGATGATATTGCCAAGTCAGCAGCATCGGATGCTTCTGCAACTGATGGCTTTCAAGTAAAATTAAACAGTCTTTAAAAAACAAAAAATAAGTAGCAGCTCTTGCTTTGATTAATATTGATTCAACTTTTTGAAAGTTTTTCTTATCGATAGATGTTCATAGTAGAACTTCGCTTAATGAAATGTAAACATACAGCGATCCAAAATATATCATCTTTAAGCAATTATCGATGCCGCTGTTAATAAGTGTCGATTTATTTCATAAATAATTAATTTTTCTCATGACAAGTTATATGTTGAAATGTCTACATTTCAGGATCATCAGCAAGAATTGAAACAAATTGATTCAATGTTTTTTGCACGTGGATTAGGTGGAATCAACGGTACAGCATTTATATTATATTCATAGTAATGAATTATATTGATCATTCTTTTTTTTACTGATTCTTTTCATTTCACAAATTTAAGGTTATGGAATATCATTTCTTGAGCAAAAAGCTTTCTTTGATACACATGTTGTACACGACTCTATTCGAACAAGTATGATGTCAGAAACGGAACATAAAATGGAACTTTGTGATAATAAAGCAGTTCTGGGTTTGTTTTAGGCACATTTTGATTTCGTTTTAATCTGGTTTGTTTACATTTCACCATTTATAATGGTGACAATGCAGTGGTGATAATTTCTGATAGGTGCATTATCGCCATTTGCAATGATGGTAATGCACCTGTCAGAAATTTATGAAAACGAAGTTCAAAAAACGGTTAGTATTTTTACTTCATATAATTTCGACACTTAGCATCTCAAGTTACGGTTGCTTCCACTAATTATTTTTATTGTTCGGAGTAATTTTGAATTTAAAAATCATGATTCTGTAGATGATTTGATGGGTGATTCTATGATGATTGATGCGGAAGAGCAAGAAAGTACGAGTCAATTGCAAATGTATCTTATTGATCCAGTTAATGAAATAAAAACTTACTTTAAAGAAGGTGAACAAATAATCATGAAAGTAGCCGAAAAAACCGGCACATTTATAGATGGTTCACTGATGAATGGGAGATGTGGACGTGTGGGTTGGAATCATGGTTAGTTGATTTTTTCGAGGCTTGGAATTAGCCAGATCATGTAATTAGAGATTTGGAATGACTGTTAATGATAAACCCAAAACTAGAGCTACGCAGGTATTTTTTCAGAAAAAGTTGAGACTTTAGTAAGATTCACCATTGCTGGTTATTTCTAATTTTTGTTGATTCTATAACAGAGTGTACTTTTTTGGTCTCCAGGGGAAGGTAATGGCAATTAGTTCTTTAATTCACGTTGCTGATAGCGCTATCAAAATTCAGGAACCTTTCATTGGTCCACTGATTATATCTGCTAACTCAAACCATAAGGCTCCTCTTGCAAACTGAATCTATCTTTTATTAATTTGAAAATGCATCAACGGATTCATTGATTATTTGTTTGTTTTCTCAAAGCATTTTTAGCATGATACAACATCAAAGTAAATTTAAAAATCGAGGTTCTTTTGCAGGACGAATATATTGGATGAGCGATCTTCCCAATTCATTATCAGTCCGATGTCTTAGGCTTCAATGCATCAATCAAGTGCCTATCGTAAATTTCCTTTAATTTGAATTCTCTGTTGTTATAGCTCTAATCATGAAATATTAAATTACTTATTTCATTTTTCATGTTGTGCAAATCCAATTTTTGTTTATATGAACTCAGCTATTGTTTTGGTTATTTCAGGAATACATTATTGACCTCTTCCAAAAAATCGACTCCATGAGTAAAATAGTGATTAATGAGGAAACCGACAGTTTGATTTTCCAGAATGTTTCACAAAGAAAGCCAGATGGGGTGAATTCACTTTTTGAACTTTTTTCGAAGCCAGTGATGTCAATAGTTCTAATAAAGTCTCTTTTGTTTTCACACATGAGTAAAATTTTTGACGGGTCCTTAAAAATAGCTTAGTAATTCTTGAAATTTTTGAAGGAATATAGGTGCATGTTATAATTAGGTTTTTTTAGGAGTTTTCTGATTTAATAAGTTACTCCTTGGCGGCATCGAGATCCAACAACATGTCACATGATTTTAATGTTTTGAAATTATGTGATGCTCTTTTTGGCTCGCAAGTCACAGGTATTATTTATTATTGTGTCATTAAACTGATATGTTTTCCTTTTTGTTTTTCATTTTCATTCACCAAGCACTAAAAACATACGAAATCTAAGTAAAATCAATGTTTAAATTATTTGATTATATTCTACATTATTTTCAGCTGATACCAATTACACTAGAATGTTAAATCGTCGTGAAGAAGTTGCTAAATGGCTACAAAAATATATGATAACTACTAAACAACATGAAAAGCCACCTCCGACGGGTCCTGCTAAAATCCTTCACTTATTGCTTATCGGTAATTTAGAAGCCGCGGTAGAAGAAGCTGTAGATAGCAATTACCCTCATCTTGCTTGTGGACTTTCAGTATTCAAAAATACTGACAGGACAGCTTACAAAAATCAGGTTCACATTTCTTTACGATTTTTTTTTCTTCATAAGGAGACACTTTTTTTCTTTATTATCATTTATTATTTTAGATTGAGCATTGGAAGGAAACAAAAGAATGTAAATTTATTGACGAAAACCTGCTAAAAATTTACCTTTTGATAGCAGGAGAAATGCAGGCTGAAATAAATGGCAAAAAGATCTTTGTGAATGATGGTTTGGATGGATTGCAAGTTAGTAAACCGTTTTTTTTAAACTCCCACTCATTTTACCATCTATATCTTCCTTTTTTTTCAATTTCAGGATCCAAAAATAAGTAACAACAAATTTCAAGGCCAAAAGTTTGGTTAATTTAGTTCATGAATAACGGAGTTTTCTCTTATTTACTTCCTTTGTTTTATACGAAAAACGTCGTTTTTTTTTATTGTAGGCGTTATGCACATTCGTTTCATATTTTGACCCATTCGATGCTTCATTAAAATATGTGCTGCATGCTTTCGAAAACGATTTGAAGGCGCGGGATGCAGAGCATACGTTGAAATGCAACGTTTTTTATAATCTTATTCAATTGGCTTGTGACCCCACTCAGTCTATGGAAGCGGTTCTGGAACCTAGCTGCACTGCTCTAGATCCCATGGATTATCATTTATGGTTTGTGCTGATTTTTTAAATTTCGAAAATCGATTGAGTGTTCTTTGTTCTACATTTTTTTTGAGGAAGTAAATTGGCTTTAAATCTTTCTGCAGGAGATAAAATAGAATAAGAAGTTCGTGTATAAAAAGAAAAACCAAAAAGGGAAATTGTGAACGAGACAGATTAAATCGACAGAATAAGAGTTAGAGACAAAAACTTGTTCATGATTCTATGGTTTAGGTTTAATTATTTGATTAATTACCAAAGTTGTTTAATTATTAAATTTGTTTTCCAGTAATATGCTAAAAAACTAGGCTTTTGGGAGATCTAGCGTTTTTTCCTTTTTTTTGAGAAATTTTTCTTTCTCGTAAAAAAATTATTTACAGCTGGCATTTGTGGTTTATATTACGAATTTTGGGATTTGAACATCACTCAGAATCCGCTGAACATGCACTCCATATTCGGTATGCTGAACAGCTTTGTCAAATGGAGTTATATTATCCCGCTGCAATTGTACTGATGCATATTTCTGATGTGCAAAGGTATGTTTTATTTATAGAATCCATTCGCTATATTAAGTCCTCGTTGATAAATCCATGACCGATAACAATCGATAAGTTGGAAGAGACCTATTTGGTACCATTTTGTGTCCAGTCTCGTTGATTGTAATTCCCATGTCAAAATACTGTGAAATTATTAGTCGAAATGATGCTTTGATTGGTCTTGGTGATCGAATTGCGGACAAAGCTGATGAGGAAACTTACACCAAACTATCAACAATGGCGCGTTTACCAGATTGTATTATTGCTCGGTCAAAGTAAGTTTTTTGATTTTTTAATTGCTTTTTTGTTGGTAGCGCATAAGGCATTGGAGAGGATGAGGTGTGGGATTTTGATGTCGTACCTATTGCTCTCTTGTATTGTTATTTCAGGTACATGGGGGCGAAATTGGAAGGTGATGAAGCTAAAATGTGTTTATACGCTTTGCAGGGAGGCATGCTTGATGACGCACATTCTATTTTCTTAGAGAAAGTTGCACCTAACATGATTATATCAGGTTTTTCAATTTCCTGCTTTTAAAATGATTCATCTTTATGTTTCATGTACAGAACGTAAAGGATATTTTTATTGTTTAATTTATTTTAATTTGGGCTGCAACAGCTCTGAAAATGAGAAAGCTTTAAAATATAAAAAGCACAAATATTGACCATTATTAAATCATACATTGTAGATTATACTAAGAAATTAGTATGCAAATATTTGTGAGATTAATGAATTAAATTCCTATACTATTCACCGGATTATTTTCAGATGATTATGAAAGTCTGGGTAAGCTTGGTGATTTATTTGAGGAGGTGAGTGATCGAATACCAGCGTGGGGTCCAGGAGGACAAATTTTCACCGATTTTTACCATATTAAAAAAAGGCTGGAGGAAATTGGAGATGATGAAGAGGTATGTGTTAGTCACTGGTAAATGTTTGATTTTCAGTTTGGATTTTCAAGCATGAATTTGAATGATATTTAATTGAACTTATGTTAATCAACGATTTTTGATAGTTTTTTCATTCCTATTAATTACATTATTGTAGGTGAAAGAAATAATCAAATTGGCGCATTCCCTTGAATTACGGCTAGTCGCAATGCCCGTAACTAATCCCATGCAAAGGTCAGTATAGGTTTTATTAAAATTTAATACTGGAAGCTTTTAGATCTTTTTCTAACCTTCTATATCTAAACGCTTGAATCAGACTTGTTCCAGACTTGCTGCAACAGTAATGTCCAAATATGTTTTCAAGTTAATTTACGGTTACGAAGGTACTGAAACCGAAAATCTACCATTAAGTTATGAAGATAAGTTGGAAATTGCAAGTGATTTGGAAATTCTTCCCAGTTTTCCCATGGATGTTACTGCTTCCCTAGCATCGATTATGAATTGCAGCAGTAATGGTCAATGATGTTCATCTTTATAATTTTTTGATTACAACCGAATTTTTTCTTATAATGAATGTTATGAATGTTTTGTTATGAGTTTGATTGTTCCGAAGGCATAAGATATACTTTTTTGATCATTTTTGTGAGATGTCATGAAAATTGCTTGTTTATACAGTATATCCTACTTTGCTCTCTACAAAAATTAATAGGAACTGATATAATTTCTAGTGTTATCTTTTCTGGTTTAAATTTTTCTGCATTTTATTTGTCAGATATTGTATTTTTTAAGAACTGATTAGAGTCATGCTCATCACTGAGAAAATAAAATTTATATTGTTGATTTACATACCATTCAGGGTGGAGATGAAAACATTTCAGAGTGAGTGTTTGTTCTCCATCATTTTGCTCGTTTTCCTTGTAAAGGCTCGAAATGTTCGAATTGCAACGTTGTTTCTCACTTTATCCTTCATTTAATTTTCTTTTTGGTATGTTTTGAAATATTGTAGTTTATACGTTGTTATGTTTCTCATTTTATTCTTCATTTAATTTTCTTTGTTTTACAATGATATGTTTTGAAATATTGTAATTCATACATTACCATCTTCATATGGCAGTGTATTTTGGAAAATTTGTCCGGTTCATGCTATTGATTGCCGTTATTGGTTCGAATGAATAAAATCAGTCATTTCTTCAATGACACACAAATGTAAGGACAGAAAGGTAGCTTGGTAGAACTTTTTTTCAGTATTTACGAGTGCTTTATGAAATCTGCAAATACAGAACTGATAATACGTGACATTTACTATTGATAGTAATTTGCACTGATGGAATGCTGCATTTACGTTTATACGTTATCCTTACAAATTGTGCATCCGAATGAGCTCTGCTCTGCAGTGTGCAAACGAAACTGTCAGTTCTTCCTCCGCCCTCACAGTCGCTGTATTGAGACTTTATCTTGAGACAAGATGAAAAGATAGTTCGGTCGATCCGACCCGGAAGTATCGGATAGACCGAACTATCTTTTCATACTATATAGAATAACATAAACCAAATCATCTTCCCACAGCAGAACTTGGTCTCGTATTTTATCGTAACAACGTGTTCGGCTTCAAAATGTATCCAGTTGCCATGAATAATTTCCATCTAAGACTGGAGTGTTTGAGTCATTTGCGTAATGTATTTGATGGGCGAATTTCCACATATCAGAATCTTGAAATTTTGAAATGTCGAGATTCCACAAATTTTTAGAGTTTTTCTTACTTAAATTCTATCATTTTATCATTTTAAGCATTACTCATTGCAGTCACTTGGATAAAATGGTGGGTAGAAGTACGGTAAAACAACGACCCGCACCAGCACATGAATCGGCCGTTAAAGATCTTGTACAAACACCTACGTCATTAGCTACAAGCAGCACGTAAGTTTATCATTCAACTTTTATTCTTTTCATTTCACGTGATATTTTTCATTAAAAAAATATACTGATACTACGCGTCTACTTAACAACCGAAATTTTATGGCTATTGGCTGCTTTAAAATTTTGTATAGAGTTGAGAAATAAACGAAGGGAATTAGGTTTTATGAAATTAAAAAGCTGTGTGTTGATAAGTTAAGTATATTCAAGCACATTATTATTATATATCATCACGTATTACTTTATCTATTATTTGTTGATCGTTTTTCTAAGGTTCTGCTTATCCATCGAATACCTAGAACATTTATAACTAGTAGTTCATCTCCTTTTGACGTTTTTTTTTTCGTCAGATCTGCCTTGTCAACACCAGTGGATACATCTCGACCACTTTTACCAAACGATGGAAACTGCGATTTTAGCGAAATTGATAATCTAATTCAAAGGTACTTAGCAAGCACGCAGTATAAAACGGCATTGTTTTGGGCGGACAAACGATTAGCATTATGTCGGAAGAATGGATCCCAACCATCACTCGTGGATATGGCGCGGTTTATCAAGGTTCGTAAAAAGTATTTGATTTAAATTTTTATTCAGCTACTCCAACTTTTTCTAAACTTATATGTCTAAAATTATATATATTATTCTTCATAGTAGATAAATATGCATCTCAAATAAGCACATATCAAGAAGGTCATACGCAAGTTGTTCGAGTTTGAAAGTTGTAAGAAACTTTGAATTGTAACAGAATATATGATTAAAACTTTCAATAAATTCTGGAACTCCTTGCTAGTAGTGGGAGTATTGTGCTAAATCAAGTACAGTTAATTTTTCATTCAAATTCCATTGAAATCCAATAATTTTTTTTTAAGGTGTTGGCAGCTGCTGGGGAATGGACGCGTTTGATGGCTTACTGTGATCGTCATGAACTTATTATGAAACACATGTTCTTCGCTTATTTTTATGTAAATGCACTTTACAGAAAGAAATTATTTATCGACATACTCAAGTTAAAATTGGGTACTGGGGTAGGTTGTTTTCAGATTTTTTATCTCTTTTAAGAGTTCACATTTTTATGACGTATTTGCAAAAACGGAATCGGGTCCTGTGAATGAAAAAATATTGGTTTCCCACTGCACGAATTTTGAATCTACAGTTAATAATTTCACATTTTTGAAGGATAAGTGTCATGATCTCGTGTTCTCCATTCTGCCCCATATGGTTCAACTCTCCAAACCAAAGTCTTTCGCCCCAAGTCCTGAAGAAATAGCTGCGCTTGATAAAATGTCAGAAGATTTGCAGGTGATAATTTTTGAGAATAATATTGTCACTTGATAAATGCTTTTATTTTCATTTGAAATTTTTATAAAATTAGTAAGCACACTAAAAATGGTTGCCTTCAAATTCTTTCTTTTTGTCAATATTTAGATCGAAGCAGGACTACTGCTTTTGCTAGGAAAAGCTTATTTGATGACTCAAAACCGTCGCGCAGCATTCTCTTGTTTGCAAGGAGCTGTTTGTAAAGATGATTCTTGTACAGAAGCATTTGAGCTTATTCAAAAATATCGACTTTATTCAAAACAGCGTTTTGAGGAATTGATTGAAAGGTCATTGATTTAGTTGCTGCTTTTTTAAGTCTTTTTTATTCCTTCGTTCTGATTTATTCTGCATATTTGTAATTTTGAACCCTTGTAGTTAAAAAGTTTTGAAAGCTTATTTATCAACATTTTTTCAGATCTGGAGATAAAAGCAGTATGATTGTGGCTCTTCGAAACTATTATTTTTCTCAAGGAAGTAAAAATGCAAGTTTAGAAAGTCTTGTTACTGGGACTATATATATATATATATTTTTTCATTTAACTGTAATTAAAATCATTTGTTTTTGCAGCTGAATTCGGATATCTCAATAAATGAAGCTTTAACAACGGATTTATCAATTCTTACTGCACGAGCCGCACATTTGTACCAAACTGGGGATCTCACCGGAGCTTATAATATCACAAATGAAATTTTGAATGAGGCTGGCATGTTTCAGGTTGTAGTTTTTTGCTGAGGAAAAAAATTTGCCTAAGAAACTGAGCATGCTTATTCTTAGTAATATGATGAAAATACTCTAAATTAGTATAAAGTTAGTAATAAGTGGTGAGCATACGGTAACTCTAATTTGATTTTATGTTATCTGTTTACTTTTCCTTGTAATTTTTTTTGTTACTCTTCCTAACTTTCTACGTTAAATTATTTATTAGCTAATATATGTTGTGTTGCATATTGCTTTGAAACCACCATATCTTTTTTTAAAATTTCCTTCTACTTTTACTTTGCTAAGATGCATTTTTTCATTGTTGTCTATATAATTTCTAGTTTCAGGATTGTTTGTTAATTCATATTGCAACCTTGGTACAATTGCGAAAATTTGAAAGTCTCTTCATATTAGCACATCAATTGGTCGATAGTCAACCAGATAATGAAGTTAGTTGGTATACCGTTGGTTGCTATTATTATTCTATTGGACAGCTAGGAGCGGCGAAAAATTTTTTAAGTAGGTTTATTAAATTTTATCATAAATTCTGCAATCCGTTTAGCAATTGGATGTTAAATGGGAACTATCGGAGCAGCGTTAATTTTATGATTTTATTAGAGCTAATATTCTTTCTAAACGTTAGACTTGGTTTAGATTTTTATATATACGTGCCGAATCTTATAGAACGCTAAAAAAATTTTATTTACAATGACATAAAAGATAATCAATTGAAAAGTGATGTTGAAAGGCTGATTTATAGGACCATTTATTTAGATAAATGTACATCGATGAACTGTACGTTTGGTGAAGGTTGGCTAGCATTTGGACATGCGCTTACTGCAGAATCAGAGCATGAGCAGGCAATGAATTGCTATTTGAGGGTAAATTATTTAAAACAGATTCTGAAGTATTCGAGAAATATATAATTAAGTTTAATAGGATGAGCCATAAATTACTTTGCATTCTGATTTTTTATTTTTATGAGTTTTTGATATTTAAAATTACTTTCTTCCGTTGTAAATATAAATTATTAAATTAAAGTTAATGTGTGTAAATGTTTTGTTGCATCCGACATTTTAGTTTCTCGTGCGGGATAAAATAAATTGTTCATTTTCATCTATACTTTATTAAATTCCGAAGATTAATAGAAATTATTAAAATTAAGTGGTTGATGTGAATAAGTGGATCTTATAAAACCATGTTGCAGGCATCGCGAGTGCTGGAAGGTAGCTTCGAACCATTGCTGTACATAGGACTGGAATATGCTTATGCAAATAATACAAAGCTGGCCCAAGATTTTTTGAAGGATGCAGCTGAAATAGCTGGTGATAATGCACTTGTGCTACATGAACAAGGTTGCATTTGCTACATGAAAAAAGATTGGAAAAGTATGTTTTTGATCTTCATGGTTTCAGAAGAACGCTTTTTCGAAAAATGTTTATTCTTCGAAATTCTCGAGCAACTTAATTTTTGATTACAGAGCATGATTAATAGTTATATCTCTTTGTTATGCAAAAAAAAAATTTCCATCTTGCTTTTCAAGCAGAGTGTACCAGTACATGCTCCTGTTTCTTGTTCTAAGCCAAATATTTATTTCTATTCTGTATTCTCATACAGTAGCAAGTCCAGAGTAGGAAATAAGGCACTTAAAATCCTTATATCATCAATTACACTGGAATTACCCCATGAAATTTTGACCTGAGCCCCTCATTGTAATGGATGCCTAAAATGATTGATAGTATCGAGCATAATGGAATATATAATGTAGATTTTTCGTGTAGGCAAAAATATACTGTGTTGTGTTTCATTAACTTCGAATAAAATAAACCTTAAAATAGTGGAAGAAATATTTAAAAAATCTTGTTTGTGTGATTAATGAAGAAGTTATATCTTGCAACTCTAATAAATGCCTGAAACATTTTTCAGATGCTGAAACATTTTTCACCAAAGCTCTACTGTTAGCATACAACGAGACAAATGAATGTGCTAACGTATATGATTTGCTAAATCGACCACTGAGCGAATTTTGGGAACCTCTCGTAAATAATCTGGGACATGTAAAGTGCAAACTCGGATCTTATGAGGAGGCCATCAAATTTCATCAGTAAGTTATCTGGAAGTGTTGCATGTCTATTTCCGAGCTTCATCAACATTCATTTTACAAGCAATCTTATCAAAGTTCTGCAGTGAGTTTTTCTACACTTCCGAAGTCACTTTTAATTTGTGTGCTATATTTTTCCGTAATTATGATAAGTACAAATCTGAGTTCTTACTATGTTCACATACTGGGATACAATTGTATAACATACATTTTTTTTATTAAGGAAAGCACTTCTAATGTGTCCAGGGAAGCTAGGTCCAAATGCCGGATTAGCAATAGCAGCGGGCCGAGCTGGAGACATTGATCGAGCTGTTCATTATTTTCATAAGTCACTTAGTGTGGATCCACATAATAAGGTATTAAAATCTTCACTGTTTTAGAGATTATATCTAAAATTATACTGATCATATTTTTGGAATGCAAATATCGAAAAGTCATTTTGTGTCTCAGTGCTCAATGAATAATTTTCAAATAGCACTAAGAGTTCACTCCTTACTTTGTCTTTATTTTTTTAACTCTTTTTCACTTATTTGTTATTTTTACTTATTTTATCATTTTACGCTCAAGTTTAGATCACATAATCCACTGCTTCCAACATAAGCAAGCGGCTTTATTTTTCGAAATTTACTTCGAAATAAAGATTAAAATTAGTGCAAACTACCCCTTTGCTTTAAAAAAAATTCGATTAATGATTAAATTCCTCAATTTTTGTAAGGTGTAAAGCTGATTGATAAGGAATTGCAGGTCTCATAGACATTAGCCTTCTTTCCAGAAAAGCTCATCATGCCTGAATTATTTCATTTAATCTATTATTATTCACATTTTTGCTATTTCGGACTAGACTGGCATTTTTTTCCTATCTTCTATGAGAAACATTTCGTGGTTAATATTAGCATTTAGTTATGTGAAATCTTCCTTAGTTCTTAATATTACAATACTTTTCAGGTGTTGGAACAAGGACTTCATCAACTCATGCATTTTTTGGGGACGCATGGCAACTTTTCGGCATCATGTACCAGAACCCCTACTCTTATGATTGGAGTTCGTTTTTGAAAAAGTTTTAAAATTTTGAAGATTTTCATGCTTTTTTATCTATTCATTTCCATATCATTTCATGTAAGCAATTTTTGCAGTCATTCGAAAAATTCTTAGTGACGAAAGCTGATCTAGAGGGAGACGCTTACGAAAAGCAAGCTCAACAAAAAGCACTGGAAACATTGAAGAGGAAGCGTACGAAGCGTGGCTCTCAAGAAGACTATGGAAGGTTCGCGAATCGTCCACATTTTAATTATTTTAGCAAATAGCATAGCTAATTTATGAGTTCGCTTTATATCGCAGTATATTTACTTTAGTAAAGGCATAAAATATCAAAAACACTCTTATGTTTTTTGATACATTGATCGCATACAAAATTTGTGTTTTTTTTATTGATTTTTTTTTCTGAGATGATTTTCAAGATTTCATTCCGAATGTTGAGAGATTAAATTTAAATAATTTTTTGGTATTTCTACTTATTGTGCTATTTTTTCAGGAGGATGTTGGATCAGCGTGCGAAAACACATGATATCAATTCAGCGGATGTTGAGATGACTTAGAAAAAAGTTACGAATATCTGGATTCTTTCAAAATTTGTTTGTTACTAATAGAACTGCCTATTTATTGCTTGAAAATAAAAATGAGCGCCCAAAGAAATTTTTAGTCTGTTTATGGAATAAAGCTGAGATCTGAACTGACAAATCTTATTATATATTGATCTTATGATTGTCTTAATTATAGTGTTTAACTAAACCAGTATCTTTTTTGACTGTTTGCATTGCGGAAAAAAGTGTTATTTTATAAGAAGTAATTATAAAATTCAAAATGTTCTCACCGTAGGATTGAATGGATGTGCTTCTTACCCCCTTAGATCTAGAAGTATGTTATGCAGATTGAAGGGCGGTGTGGGGTAATTTCAGTTAAGAGCTTCTTATTGCTTGTGGAATACGACAATCATTTATCTGTTTGTTGTATGTGTTATATTTTTAAATTTGAAGAAACTAATGAAACAAATGTGTAGAGCAGTTGTAGTGAGTTAAATTAAAGCAAAACTAATAGCTAATTCGTTTGAAGTTACTGAAACTGAAAGTAAAGTACATTTAATAAAGAGAATTAATTGAAGCAGTTCGCATTTTTTCAAAATGATTTTTAACTTTCGAAGAGATTATGATCATATAGTCATTTATCTTCGTGAGATTAATTTTGTATTGTAACTCAGTTTTTCTCTCAATTTTTGTATCCATAAATTAATGTTCCTGCATGTTTATAAATGAAGTCGTAAAATTTTCACTTTAGTTTTAGTTTGGATTATTTTGGATAAAATTGAATTTTAAAATTTTGAAAAGATCAACTTCAGTAGCAGAATTGAGTACATTTCTCTTAATTCAAAATTATGTTGAGTTGTTTCCTGCACTTCGAAACGTTCGGTTCGAAGTTCTTCATACGGTACAAAGTCCAAAGTTCGTCGAATGATAGTTTTAACGATAGATGACATGTATTTTTTTCTGCATGTATGTAATTTTAGTTTATTCAAACATTGTACAAATTGGAATTTTGAATAGGAAAGCAAATTAGGTTATTTAGTTTCAGAATTTCCCAATTTGAAAAACATCTGAAAACTCAACTCTAATGTATTGTGTATTGATTGTCCCAACATTAAGGATCTTTTTTACATTTTGTTCAAGTATTGTGGATAAATTTCCTTAAATTTTGATTTGCTATGGATCGAATAGCAAGAATAAGAAATAATTGTCTTCATTTTGACTTGAAATGGTTTTTAACATAAAAAGACATCTTCTAATATTTGAATAAATTAACATATTTTGATGGAAAAAGATAAAAAAGTAATCGGGTATCGCTTGGTTACTTTAATTTTGCTTATTAAAAGTTCTTCAGTTCTTTTTCTCATTTAAGTGTTGATATTTATATTGTTGCAGAATTTAAGCAAATGTTACGCTGTTTATCCATAAATCCTGGTAATATATGTCAAATTAGATCTCTGTGTATGGTATCATGTTGTTTCTCGAGTTCAAAAGCTCCTGCGACATCTAGGAAAACATTTTCTAAACCTGATCGACCGAATATTGTTCTTGTTGATGCGGTACGTACGCCATTTCTACAATCAGGGACAGTGTTCAAGAATATGATGGCTTTGGATTTGCAGCGAGCAGCTCTTTTAGGTATTACTTCAGTTCATTAGTTTTGCAATTAAGTGAGAGGCCTTTTTTCTGATAAAAGCTCGTGGTTGTTGCTGAGAGGTTTGATAACTAGAATATGAAAAATGTCCCACATTATTTCGATGATATTGAATCGTTGAACTCATTTTAATTATTTCATATGATAGGTATGAAAAAGATAACTATGTATGATAGTAAGCAGAGGCGTTTTTCAATATGAAAGTATTTTGAATTTCGGCTACAGCATTAGTCGATCGGACGAAAGTGAATGTAGACGAAGTAGGACATATTGTATGTGGTACTGTGATACAGGAATGTAAGACGAGTAATGTGGCACGTGAAGCTGCGTTAACGGCTGGATTTCCTAAAAAGGTACAATTCATGAAGCTTAACGCATAATTCTAAAAAGTATTGAAAATTCTTTACCTCCTTTTACTTAATTTTCCTTTTTCATTATCACTTCCAGATGTTTGCAGCTCTTCCTTGTTCGTTCTTTCCTCCAAAAAATAAAATTGTTTTAATTTTATTTCATTTCGCTATGTCTTTACTATCGTTACTTCAGCTTGGATAGATTTGATTTTTGAATAAATTTAGATACCAGCGCATACGGTTACATTGGCCTGCATTTCTTCAAATGTTGCAATAACTGATGTCATGAACATGCTTGCAACAAGATACTGTAACGCAGGTATTGCTGGTGGTGTTGAGTTATTCTCCGATGTTCCAATCCGATATAATCGGAAAGTGCGCTTTCTTCGCTTGTTTTTGTTACAAATACTTTTCTTTGCTTATGCATTTGCTTGTGATTCTGGAGATGAGTATTACTTCAAACATTTTTGGAGTAATTTTTTAATCTCATCTGAAGGAGATCCCTCTTAAATAGAATTTTATCTGTTTTTCAGGCACGCTTAGCAATGCTTTCTCTGAATAAAGCAAAAAAGTTTTCCGATAAGTTAACAGCAATAACAAATATAGCAGTAAATTTCTTCTCACCTGAATTACCAAGTGTTGCTGAATTTACAACTGGTGAAGTAATGGGACATAGTGGTGATCGATTGGCGGCCGCATTTGGTGTTTCTAGGCGGTTAATAATTGTATTTTAGTCTAAACAATTTAAATAAGTAGATGAAGTTGACAAATGAATTCATATTTTCGATAGTAAAGTGCTGTATATCAAATAATCGGTGGGAACTGTAAAATGATTGTTTGGAATAAAGCATTTTTGTTGGATTTGATACTCAAGTGTTAAATCAGCACAATAACCGATCTTATTTTATTAGGATAAAAATGTCAAAATGATTAAGCTTTTTCGATCTCTAATTTTAGAGAACAGGATGAATATGCTCTCCGTTCACATATGCTTGCTGATCGTGCTGCGAAAGAGAACCTTCTCTCTGACGTTATACCAATTTTTGTATCCGGTAGCAAGCCGACGATTGTTCGAAAAGATAATGGTATCCGTGTTTCGTCAATCGAAAAATTATCACAGTTGAAGCCAGCTTTTGTAAAATCGCATGGAACTGTTACTGCTGGTGAGTTTATTGTTGAATTCGAAAAACTGTCCAAGATAGAGAGATATAGAATCGACAGCAGATAAGTTCGTAATTTTGTTAACATATAAAGGATAAAAGTCTCCTGCTGTTCTGTCTTTTATTGAAATGACAAGCTATAAATAGACAAGAACATAATTTAGACAAGAATTAGAATGGCATACCTTGGTAGTATCAAATAATTTATTTTTCTTCATAATTTTATCAATTCCGTTACTTTTTCAAATATTACAGTTTTAATAATTGCATTGCTCTTAATAAAAGTAAAATTTAGGAAGTTATTAATTTTATTTAATATAGCAATGCGAGTGGCAATTAAGAAACAGCAATTAATATTTGTTCTGCATTTACTTCTTTTTGCGTAGATCTTATCGGTCATTTTGTTCGAACAGCCAAAAATTCAAAAACAAAGTGCAACTGAGCAATGAACAAATTAATCAATACCAGGTGTTGCATTGATATACGATAGTTTCGTTGTATAATTTGCAGGCAATTCTTCATTCCTTACTGATGGTGCATCTGCTTCACTGATAATGACGGAAGATTATGCGGTAAAGAAAGGTTACAAACCAAAGGCTTATCTGAGGGATTTTCAGTATGTAGCGCAAGATCCAACTGACCAACTTCTTCTCTCACCTGCCTATGCAATTCCGAGGCTGATGGATAAGGTACAGATTTAATTTTTTCTTTGAACTTTTGTAATATCTGATTAAGTTTTTACCTTCCTTTTCTTTGTAATTTCGTAATCTGGATTCAGGTTGGATTAACATTAAAAGATATCGATGTCTTTGAAATTCATGAAGCTTTTGCTGGACAAATTCTAGCCAATTTGAATGCCATGGATTCGGATTATTTTTGCAAAGTATTATTTTTCTCCTATTTAATTTCTAATTTTTTTTACCAATTTCAATACAGTATTTTCTGCTCTTCTAAAATTCCATTGAAAGAATTGCTTAGGAAATGTTGAAACGACCGACAAAATATGGACGTATACCGGAGGAGAAGTTGAATACCTGGGGTGGCAGTCTTTCACTCGGACACCCATTTGGTGCAACAGGAATACGATTGGTGTCGCATGCAGCAAATCGACTGCAACACGAACAAAGCATGATTTCTTATTTTTTTAATTAAAATTCTACTTGACTATTAGACTTCAAACACTTGACTATTAAAATTAAAATTCGTAAATGATAAATATTAAACACTTAAAGCTGGTCAAAAACATGAATCCCTTGCAGGAATTCTGTATGAGACTGAATTTAATGCTTAGTTGCATCGCTTCGGAATGAACCTCTGTACTAAATAATTAGCTGTTGAAGAAAAAGTTGCAAAAAAAGAAATGATACTTTTCGCATTTACGTAAAATGTAAAAAAATAATACATGTCACATTTACATAAAATGAATATTTTTGCCATACTGATTGAAAATTAACGGAAAGAAGATAAGTCATTTCACGAAACTGATAAATAAGACTGACTTAAGTTTAATTTTTTTACTATTATTGTTTTTTATCAATGTATTATGTGAATTCTTTAATTTTTCATTACAGAACATCTGGGAATTGTATCTGCATGCGCTGCAGGTGGACACGGAATCGCTATGCTCATTGAAAATTACCCCAAATAGATATAATTTGTTATTTAAGTAATGATAAATTAGCTGCCTGTGATACTATATATAAAAAAAAGTATACACTGTGATTGGTTTGCACACGTCAATTCATTTTTGTCATATAATTTCTCTATATCTTCTATTATGATAATCCAATTTACATAATTTGCATGTTGCATGCCCATCAGTATGGTACATATTCCTACATTTAGATTTTTTTATTGGAGATTTTTTCGGGTTTTTTTTGTAGTAGATAGTGATCATCAGCAACTAGTGAATTTTTATTTGATTTATATCAATTTATTACAAACTAATGTAAGTTTTTTTTCGCAGTGTGCAAACTATTAAATATTCAACTCGAAAGACTGCTTTGTCACTGAATTGTAATGACCTTTGGCGAAGGCTCGGATCAAGCTGAAATGACTATCTCTACAACTTGAAAGCAACATAAGCCATGGGCCTATTACTCGCTCAAATTCGAGATGTTTGACATGTTATATACATATCATATTATCGAAATACTGAATGCATTTATTGTATTTGTATATGGAGATGGTTGAATACAATAATTCTACTATATGAACTGTGATAAAGTGATTATCAATAAAAATAAGTTGGAATGGACATGGAAGACGTAATAATTAATTGGATTTTACTGATTAGGGAGCTGATTTTTAGTGCTAGCAGATTTCCTATTTATTATGAATAAGATGAAAAGGAAGTTGAAGATTTATTAAATTACTATTCTTGTTTACTATTGCGATAAAATGAGAATTGTATGAGCTAAAAGACTGATGATTGAATTCAAACAAAAGTGGTAATTAAGTCCCGAAAAATGGGGAAGGGGTTAAAAGGTTAGAGTTGTTATCTTTCATCCAAGTATACAAATCATTGGAGTATATTTCATCCATCGCTCATGATACTATACGGAGAAGTTGGAAAGGAAATTTGTGATTTCTGTCATCTTTTCTGCCACCAATTCAGTCTTTCTGTTTTGTTCTGTTCTGTTCCTTCCAAATGCTCAATACTGAAAGGGAAGGTGCCATTTTTTTTCTTGCTTTATCGCATCGTTTCCATTGTATGTTTGAGAGGTTTCAGACGTCATTCATTAAATTGAAGTGCCGGGGAATTGAGAGAATTCACAATCTGTCTCAGTACAAATAGATGACATTGGAGAGAGATAAAGATGAAGAGACAATCTTGCAAGCTAACTATAGAATGGCCTTAAGGCCAATCCCATAATAGCAAATGGCCTTGAAGTAAAAGAAATCGATCATTGGTTACTGCTGTCCCGAGACACTCGCTTACTGCTACATTTACCGCCACTCTTTTCAGTTAGTTAATTCAGCAAACATATCTCATAGCTTATTAAGTCGTCCATTCATTCTTCTCTTTCTTTCTGCTTCTCTCCCTCTCTCTCTCTCTCTCATTTATTTAGCATTTTTTTTTAAAAACGAATTTTAAAATTTTTATGCCAACTGATTTTGTTATTAGTGTTGAGAATTTAGATGATATTTGATTGATGAAAAAGTTTTGAGAGTGTTGTTGTTTTTAATTAAATTCAGCAATCCTTCATAATTTTCAACTTAAATGTGATATTAGCAATAAGAAATGACAGATGAGCAGTTAAGATGATGTTTGGCAAAATTTACTTCATTCAGTGCAGATTGTTTGTACAATCCTTCAACAAACTGCAAATAATTCACATATCATATTTCTTATGAAGTGCTTATAATAATCAATTTCGGGGAAATTTATGAAAATTTTATTACCAAAGTTACGTTTCATTAATCCGTCACATTATACTACCAATTCATATGATAACTTTGATAAGGCTAATGATAATCTTGATAAGATTATACTAATTCATATGATAGCTTTGATAACAATTCATCATTTTAATCATTTTCAATAATTGAATTAACATTCTGATCAGTAAGAAGATATTATATCTGACATTTTCATCTCAGATAAATGTAGCTTTAAACATTTATGGATTTTTTTTTATTTCAATTATGAATATAAATAATTTTCTGGTTTTTACATTGCTATTTGTAATAACGGAGGAAGAATGAATGAAGAAAATTTGCAATATATAACCAACGTTTCTTTTATGAATTATTCCTGTTTCTTCCAGTTTTGATTTAAATGTGACGAAATATGTATGCTGCATCAATTCAAAACAATTTTGTTTAGCCTTCAATAGCAACCAAAGAAAAACTTCCGATAAAAGATAAAGCGATCTCGAAGAGATTATACAACTCATTGTCATCTTAGAATTTGGTAAATTTGAATGGAAAATTTATTTATTCCTCAAATCGCTTAGGTCCTTTCATTTGTGATTTTATTCTCGGTGGATTAGAATTTCGCTTTAGTCTTATAATTCCAAATATTTTCAATATTGTTTATGCATAATCTTATCATTCATCCTTCTTTCTTCAATTTTAAAATAATCCAACTTTTCACAATTCCCATTCATCGATCACCGTTACTGTTATCATTATTGCTTTTCATTATTATAATATTTATCATTCTATGTAAAATATACAGTAAGCAAGCAAAGTAATCATTTATATAATTAATTATACTTAATTTGATGACTGCTTAACTTTCTACATTTCAAAGTCTGATTCCATTTCATTATTTCATAATTTTTTTTTTTGACTTCTTCATTTCAATTTTTGTATCACCTTTTCTCCTCTAAACTTCGACATGATGTTAGAGTAAAGTAAAGTAAAATGTTGAATTTTTATGTCTCATTGAAAATTTGACAGTGAGTTGGGAAATACAGAGAGAGAGAGGGAGAGGGAAAGAGAAAGAGAGAGTGGTGGTAACAGAGAGATTAATCGTTCATGCCAGCGGATGGCATAAAGTGAGGGAGGAGGACGAGTTGCTGTGTGCTCTCTTTTGTGTAATTGAAAATCGATAATACATGTACCTTGTAAAAATGTTACTTTCATCGATTTTAATAACCTCGTATTTTGAGTTATAAAATTATAGGTCAATGATTTCTATTTCTACTATTATAATATAGTAGTAATAGAAAATGTGAACTTATACAAATGGAAATGTCTAGAATTAATTATTTTTAAGATGAAAAAGTAAGTTAATTTTTCCATTGATAAATTCCCACATCAAAAAAAACCAATTACTTATAAAAGGACATACATGTCAGCAAGGACGTCTATTTGATTAAACGTCCACATCAAAAAAAAAGAGGAAGAAATGAGATTGATTGCAAGAAATTTGAAAAAGTTCAAAAATTTTTAATCCTAATCATGAAATTCATAAATAAAAATTATTCTTTCCAAAAAATAAAATTAACTTGATTATATTAAAAAATACATTTTTTTCTTCGATTTTTTTCTTCTGTCATATCATACTGTCAGTTAGTCATCATTTTGTGAGAAAGAGAGAGAGAGAGGGAGAGAGAGAGGAGGTGAGAGAGATTTTGTTCGAAAATTTATTCTCATCTCATCTTAACTGTCCCCAGTGTAAATATATGAGTGTTGTATGCATGTAAAAGATTATCTTTCATGAGAATATTTACTGCTAACCTTTGTTTGTTTGTTTATTCGTTTATTTATTTGTTTATTTATTTGTTTATTTATTTGT